AAAAAATCGAAATTGAGATAATAATTGGGAAGAGAAATCGCGAGAGAAAATTGGAGGCAAAGATTACGGCAGGAAGAATGAACGAAATTAAAATTGAAAGTAGTGGCGAGTAAATTGATCTAACTTTTAATCAGTGTCCTCGTACCGTGCACGGGTTCGAGCTTAATCGCGATACACGCGGACCATGCATGCATAATTAACGAGCAGAATAAGGGAGAATTCACCAGGATGGAAAAATCCGCGTCCACTGGTGAAAAGTTGCGGCGACCGATCGATTCGAGCCGCCATTCACGCAGCCGCGTTTTCCTCTCGTTTTTTCTTTTTTTTTTTTCCTTTTTTCATTTGTTTCTTTTTCCCCATCTTTTTCGCGAATTTATTTATTTATTTTTTTTTTCGTTATTACGATAGAAGCATACAAAAAATTCGGCATACGATGCTAGTTCGAAGTTATTTTTTTGGATTGAAACTTTTTATATTGGTATTTTCGTTTAAAAATAAATTGCAATTTTTTAAAGCTTCTAATATTCTAAGATATTGAATAAATATTGATTAGTAATATATATATATATGTAAGAATTTATTTCAAGCATAATTTTAAATGCGTTCTAGTATAATTTTAATTGAAAAATCTTTTTGGTCGTGCAATAATTTTTTTCCGGAGAAGAAGAATTGAGGTAAAAAAAAAAAGAAAAAAATTCAATAACTAGATTATTAATGAATATTGATTTTTGTTATTAAAGAGCTAAATGTTTTATGATGTGAACGAAAGTTTACACCTAATTTAAAGGGTAATTTGATGAACTTATTGTTAAAAATATATCCTTGAAGCTTAATCAGTAAAAGGATATTGTTAATGAAAGTTACTAAATCTGGTTGCCTTTGATGTATTTGTTCCCCTAAATGAAAAAAGAATCTTATTTCTGAAGATATTAATTACACATCCATGACTTTCCCCTCCATTTATTTTTTTAAAAAGTTTCTAAATAAGGTGTAAAAATTAAATTGCCTTATAAAAATATAACTGATTGATTTTCAAAAACGAAATAACATTCATATAAAATATTTAAATTTTGCGTAACTTCATATTAATTTTTGATTAATTAACATATTATAATTAATTAATATTAATTTTTTTATTTTCTTTTACATACACAACATATACTATTAAATATGTACATACGTATAATACAATTTTTACTTTACAATTCTTATATACACATAACACATACTATCATACTTATTACATATTTATATTAAACAATTGATATTAAAATTTTAATCTGACCTGAAACTTAACCCGTGCAATTCATTGGATGGAATTTTGATAACAAAGGTATTTAAAAACCTTCTAGATTATCGACAACAATGATAATTAAATAAAGAAAATTAAATAAATTTAAATCTACTGGAGTAGATTATTTTTAACCCAATCGTGAGTTCAAGATCCTTGAGTTCAAGGTTAGCATTCTCCAAGGCAAAAAACTTGCATACGAAATACAACGAACTCATTTACATTTCAGAATAAAGTCACAAATTCAATAATGATTAATAAATCGAATATCTTTCCCTTCTTTCATCTCTTTTTCATCTTTTTTTCTCAGCCTCGATTTCCCGATTTGACTCATAAGTCAAAGTTCATAATGCTAATAGCAATTCAAGATAACCAACTTTTAAGAGAAGATAATAAGAGTTCCACGATTCTCATAAATCAAAAGTTTTCCCGTAAAATTACAGCGCAGATAAATAATGAATAATAATATTGGGCCAACAATACGTGAACAAGCCCATTGGATTGATGATTATTCTCACGTCGATATTTTACTAAAACCCACCAATATCATATGGCGTGCGATTATGTGTATAAAAAAATTAACACGTTCATTGCGCACATCTCTCGATAAGAGTTGACACGTAGCATTGTGTACGTAAAGAGGTCATGGCTTCGAACGTGTGTTAAAATGACACGTGGACACATGGATTTAGAAATATGAAAGTTGAAATATCGTTTGAATCGATATATTCTTAAACGTATCAATGAAAATTAATTTGATTGTAATAAATATATAACTCGTTTCAGAATAAAAATCCAAGTACCATATTTAATTGATGCAAGAATTTTAATCCTAGGTTAAAACGTAATCTGATTAATGATCAGAGATTCTGATTAATATAAAATTATAAGAAAAATAATCAAAGTTATAATTAATGATCATGATTGAATAATTTTGATTGTAACCTCACCATTCATTTATTTATAATACCGGAACTTTCTTTTTGTTTGAATATTTATTTGATAATCTGTGCCTTTGATACATTGATTTATAATCGTTGCGTCTAAAGAATAATCTTTCAAAAGAGTTGAAGATATGTTACATAAAAAGACAATTTTTCTTCATCAATTAATTGATGAGAACATTTCATTTTTATATAATACGAAATATAATATTTGTAAAGTTTGGTATTTCCAAAACTCAAAAAACGATCAACCAAAACCGAATAAAAAAATAGTAAAAATTTCCCAATTATCGATGACTTGTATTGTAGATATAATCAATCATCATTGACCACGGCACTCAACGTATTAACTATACTCGTGCACGCGGTGTCTATCCTCTTTAAAATGCGTGTACTCTCTTTGCGCAGACAGTGAAGCGTGGCTGGCATTCAAGCCGTCTGGAAGAGACAGATCAATATGCTGCTTTTACCGCTTTCTTTCTATCTCTCTTCCTCCTGTCCCAATAGGGAGCCTCTTTCTCTCTTTTTGGCCCAGCTATCGCACCAGCTGAACATTGGCATTGATTTTCAAAGTTCAGCAAGTGTTGCTGCCTGCCTGCGAAACCTGCGGAGGGCCTCTCATCGACTGTTCTCTGTGACCGGGCTACAACGTTGCATGCACTTTTGACGGTGGAACCGATCAATACGCTCGATACCGCGTCAATTTTGCGCAAAGATCGTCCAATCGTGCCGGAACTTACGATTCCTCCGCTTCCTGCCGAGGGAAAGTGGCATATGACGCGGGACAAGGACTAAGTATTGTTGATTTTAAAAATTCCGATTTATATTTAATTAATCATGTTTGCTTTCGTTCTTTTGCCCTTTCGATTCAATCGTGTTTCTTAGAATTTCAATGAATTTTAGAAGTGAACTAATAACAGTTCAATTTTTACTGTTGCATAATTTTCTTCGTATAAATTGCAATCTTCTTTCAAATAAAAATTTATTAGTTTTATGCATCTCGTTGATTCTTTATATCATTCTTTGTAAAATCGAAAGATTGCCAAAATATTTTTACGATCATTCTGTAATAAAATGATCAGAAGCATGATATTTATGGAATTAGAAAACTTTTTAAATTCCGATTCGAATCAATATCTATTTGAACATACAAATTTTCAGGATTTCGATGCAATCCATTTCAATTCGATTTAATCCGAATTTAATTTCAGATACCCGAACGTTACTTTTAAATAATATTATACGTAAATACCAGTATTCCTAAAAGGCTAAAAAGGATATGTAATAATAAATATAACGCACAATTATTACACATCAACACATATATTTTGCTTTTGCATGTTGCATACATACGATAAACAGTACAGTGTTTACGCGTTCCTCGAGGTATGGTATACTAGAAAATTTCATTATTCACTACTACAATTGCTATTCGACGTATTATTTCGTTACTTCCGCTTTCCTGTATACTTCTGTTTGTGTAGCTATCATGAGAGATAAAATTGATACAAAAAAAAAAANAAAAAAAAAAAAAAAAAATACAATCAAACGGAATGAACACGGTACAGTTGAAAAACACACTCTGCTTGAAAAGATTCATACATATATATTTTTTTTCTTTTCTTCTTCTATTTTGTCTTGGGAACAAAGATTGCGCGTTCTTAGTGCTGCGTTTTCTTTTTAGAACAACGAAAATAGACAAATGTGTTTGATAAAAATTAGATTCTCTTTTTTTTTTTTTTTTCTAGTCGTCAACAATGAAATTGGACAAACGTGAAATACGATACGCAAAAGGACGATTTTTAAACGCTATATAATTATCGAAGAATAATGTAACAGTCACTATTATCATATTGTTGCTTCAACGAAACATCGTTTCCTTTGTGCATTTCCAAATTCTCTCATCTGGACGACATTTTAAATAAGGAAATGAGTAAAATAAAATAAAATAAAATAAAAAGAAAGAAGAAAAGAGGGAAAATCTTTGCTATTATATTCGCTTAAAGGTATCAGCGCATACACACACATCCTGCCTGAGAGAAAAATAAACGCGTTTCTATCGATATTTTTCTCTTATTTCGTAAAACGTCGTCCAAAAATACTATTGGGAATTGAGCAAGCGTTTAAAAAAAACGATCGCGCACGAACAATACAAAATACAGCAAAACGGACAGTAAAAAGAGCAAAAACGATCGGCGTTCAGACGACCGAATTCGACGACCAATAGTACACGTTGTGTGTATCGATACGTCGAGAGGGCGAAGGCCCTCTTGAATAGCTCGCGACAAAATCGATTTTCAGCAATGTAAACGTGGGAAAAAAAAAAGGAAATCGCATCGGACAGAAAGAGAGTATACACGGTTCGCAAAATCGCGCGATACGAGGAGAAACGAACGAAATACAACAATAGGAGTTGTTTCTGCTTGAAGAACTTAACTTGGCAATTCTCTTCTTTTATATTATTTTCTTTTTTTTTTTTTTCGTTTTCTTTTATCCGCTTTCTCGTTTTCTCTTGTTTTCTATGAACTTATCCATATTATTTTTTTCAATGATGGATTAAATTGTAAATTCCTTTTGATCGAGTGCCTCGATTCAACTTCGACATCGAAGGTAGGAATTATCTACCTCGGACTAAAAAATATCATGTACAGCCTCTGTAGTATTGCTACGATCAATTGTGCTCTTTTCAATCTCGGCCCTCTTTTTCTTTTTCTCGCGTTCTCTCGTTCTTTTTTATTTGCTATTCTTCGTTTTTTTTTTGTTTTCTTCTATTTTTTATTTTTTTTATTTTTTCTTTTTTTTTTTCTATTAATCCTTTCATCACTCCCCTAGATATCGGATCATTTAACTTAACCCTCGTTGGGCGGTGCCTGGGCGGTACTTTTGGGCCCCCCGCGCATTGGGCTTTTAATCCTGTTCGATTAATAATATGACGAATAATAATTGTTTAATTTACAGTAATATAGAAAGCAAATATAATAAAAATTATTTAAAATGCAGATTATATATTGTTATATATTGTTATATAGGTCCAAATGTATCCAGCCAGTCGATCAAATTATCCGCCTTTCAAGGGTTAAATCTTACGTACACGTTTTCTTTAATAGAATTATTTTTATTTCCACTTATATGCGTTACACCATAATTATACGAAGTATAGTTGATGGAAGCATTATACAGTAGAATTTTATTTATCTGAACTTTCTACCAATTGAAATAAGATTTCGATTAATGCGAACTGATTAACTGAAATCCTACTAATTGTATTTATCCAAACGATGAATTTTTATTATTTGTAGATAAAAATTGTAGATAACAAGGAGAACCTGTTTTTATAAGTGAACTCCATGAATTTATATGAATTATTTGTCCATGTAACGTATACAGATAAATGGAATTCTTCTGCGGCAAAGTTAGAAATTAAAATGTTAACCTTGCTTTGATCTTTTTAGTACATACACTTATTTAAGCGAGCATAAGTCATTTACTGCTATAAAACCTTGGCAAAATATTGAAACATTGTCTTTAATTTGTATTTGATGATATCTATTAGTGATATAAAGCAATTAACATTGAATTAAAACTAACTTCAGCTTCTTGTATTTATATTGCATAAAGTAACTCTCCCTTAAGTGATAATCTATCATAACGACTGTTATGACTCAGTATCATAAGGCAAAATTGGTCACATCCAGAATTTCTGGAATATTAAATTGGACTCTGTATTTTCTATTTATAATTTTTATTTTAAATATTTCTAAAAAAAAAATGATAGCTTTTTCATTTACTTATGCTTTATAATAAATTTCTGGTATGAAAAGACAATCTAATAACTCCAAATGTTATATTAATTGTTTTTCAAACATCTAACTATACTTTCACTTATTTTCATAAAAAAGAAAAGCAATATAGTTGCCATTATTGCGAAATTATATGTAGATGCAGCATTGCAAAATTGTAATTTCTACATATATGTATTATTCTATATATATATTAAAAATAACATATTTGCAGAACCTGTTTTCTAAACTATATGTACAAAATTTTTTTTTAAACATACTATTAAAAAAGAAATAACTCTATGTTGACATTATACAATCCTGAGCAAAACTCGAACTTCGATTATTAACCCTCCATAACTTTTATTATAAAAAAAAAAATATAATTAATCGATAGGTTTTTCATTTGAAATCTTGAAACCAATAAATGGTATAAACAAATTATTTAATATTATTATTGTAATATATTTATAAGATATAGTACAATATAGTAAGAAATATCTTATACGTAATACATAGTTACTGAATTCCAAATTACAAAACGTTATAGAGGATTAATACCTAAACAAATCTTATGATCTCATTACAACACTTCCATCAACTGTACTTAAATATTAGTACACATATTTCTTTCCGTATCACAAAAGTTACTTTGACTTATGTATATATATATATATATATATACATAAAATAAAAAAAGAACACTCTCAGTACTAAGGGTACAGTCACGAAAGGATTAATATCTCTTTCGCACCATGTCTCATCACTCAGCATTCTCTCACTCATTTTTGCATCAATTTTGCACTCCTACTTCGTTACAATAAGTTTGCTTACGCTAACGCAGATAGCCTCTACACACAGGCTGCTTCGATGGATTCTCGAATGAGTATCGAAGCAGCATGTGATTCGAAAAAAGAGCGCCGTTGACCAACAGAAACGATGAGTTCATCAAGTTCCACCGGAAATCAGAGTCTAACGATAGTACGAAGCGTCTTTGATTAGAATCTGAGCCACGCAAACGCGTGATCGTTTTGCAATTTTCGATCTCGCGCCATTTCGTCACTCTGTTCTTAGTCTATTGTGCCAATATCCATTTTGTACAAATATATACAAAAAGGAGTCACGCTCGTGTCCGAGAAATGCTCTTATTCGGAGCGGAGAAAACTCGTGATAAAAATTCTCGGACACCAGTTAGATACCAAGATATATATATGCTTGCTTACGTTTTTTTTCGGTTTCTCATTTCGTTTCTTTCCATCCCCCTTTTTTCCGCTTTGTTTCACTTTTCATTTCTTCATTTTTTATTCGTTTTTTTTTTTTTTTACGTTTTTAGAGACAATAGCGAGTGTATGGTTCCTATTTGACGGGCGTCATCTTTTTCATCGGCAAAATGAAAAACCAAAAGGCCCTCTCACTTAAAGTCTAGCAAATAAACTAAAGGCGAAAGTGGACGTTACATAATCGGATACCGATTTTTTTTTTTTTATTATGAATGACTGGATAAGAACGATACCCACTCCTTCCTTTCCAAATCCTTCTCTCCTCTCTCGTTAGTTTTTTTTTTTTTTTCAGATACCACCAGACAAATCTTACAAAGAGATTTCGTAAATTTTTGCAAACGAGAAAGAACGAAAAGAAAAAACAAAAACAAAATGCGCTCAAGTATTTTGTAAAATATTTTTGGATGTACGATTTTTTTTCGTTTATTTTATAATAATTCGAGAAGAAAGAAGAAAAAAAAAGAAAAATAATTTAATAAGAATAACACGCAAAACGAATGTAAATTTTTCTTTTGTACATTTAAAAATGGTTATTCCTCTTTAGTCCATAAGTTTTATTAATAATGTGGTATGTACACATATACACAATGTACAGAAAACCCATACGCTGGGTCTACATATATCCGCCATGTTTTTTTTATGTTTCTATCATACAACGAGTGTGTGATAATAGTAGAAAGAGTATACAAATGAAAGATTAGAAAAGGACATCCGTCAGAGATTTTCTCGACGGATTTTAGAACACCGAAGCACGATACTTCCGACTCCGGTTAATCCGCGATCACGATATAGCGTGAATAAAAATAAAGTACAATACAACCGCCTAATTTTAATAGTATCATGTTATGTATTTTATGTGTACGTATATGTGTGTTTAGTAATTTGTGTATGTGTACGCAACAAATCATGTTTGTATACATTGTGTGTACAGTGTATGTCCTTTGTATGTGTTGTACTTCAAAAAACGCGAAAATGTTCGCGACACAAGAAACAATAAAGAAAGGCGATCGAGCCTAAGTACAAACCCAAACCGGACACAAAATCTCTCCCGTGATTTCTTCTACTACGTTAATTCGAATATATTCGATAGAAATCACGTATTCTTTTTTTTTCTTTTTTTTTTATTTTTTATTTTTTTTTTTATTTTACTTCTTCGCGCATTAACCGTCCTATGATAATCCCATATATACACACGTATGCAGAACCGACGCCAGTATGTCAAAAAGTGCCAAAGACTTCTTCTCAAAACCAGTCAAAAAACAATTGATCGAACGAACGATTGATCGATCGAAACAGTCTGTTGTCTCGGTGAATAGAACGTTCAGCGAAATAAATCGCTGAAAAAAATCGTCCACTTTCCCCGACAACAACATCAACAACTTCGTTATTAATTCCAAATTTGCACCGACAACGTCTTTGGCTCGAATCGAATAATGTTGGCAATATCGCCGCCAACATTTATCACCTTTACCAAAAGTATTTTTTTGGTTAAACCTTCACGGTTCCACCATAATTAACCCTCGTCAAAGAGGGTGCAAAAATTGAGCCCCGTTTTAAAACAGTATGAGAATCTTTAAGTTTCTCTTTCTTTCTTTACTTTAAGCCCAGAACCGGTGGTATCGTCGCCCAAGATTGTGGCTATCTCGCCTTGCATAAACGCCCATGGCACTTGGCTGTTCGCCAGTGGACACTTCTCACCACTTGGGCAATAAACCTGAAATAATTAAAATTAACGGAAAATGTTATTATATTAAATAATAATCGTTCATCCCAAATACAAGATTATATTAGATGAAAATTCACCTCTGATCCAGCACCCTGTCTCTTTATGCTCTCTCGGCTACATGGGAAACAGAATTTGTGATGTGGTACGCTGGGACACTGAACGAAATGTGTGTCCTCGAGGCGTTCTTGACACAGGGTGCATTTTAATATTGGTGCTGAGACTTGTTCAGCTCCAGCAACTTGAGCAACTGCTCCCTCTGATGATGTTGTTACAGTCGTTGACGATACGTGCCTTGAACCGCTGGACCTCCTACCCGACGATGCTATAAATAATTAATATACATATAATTTAATTTTAATATTTTTCTAATCATTTCATATACAATAATAACTTAATTTAATTGATTTTGTTGAATCATAAATATCACAATATTTTTAGTTAAATTTAAGTTAGACTATTCATTTTATATTATATAACTTAATAAAAATAAACTTAAAAATAAAAATAGAATGCAATTAATGTTCTTTTACCCACGACTTAACAATATTAATTGAGAATTATAGAAAAAGAAATAAATAAAAAGAAAATTACCTGAACTATTCGGGCTATGCTGCGACCCTCTGGAGGCACTGCGTTGTTGAGCGTTTGTAGCCGTAGTCGGTGGGCTTCTGCTAGTTGGACTTGGATTGTTTGGTGGTTGTGGCACTGATTCTGGTGATGCTAAATTATCAGCAACAGACATGAGCGCGGCCATTGGAGACGGGCCATTTGTTGTACCCTACAAAATTATTTTCAATTTTTATTTCAAATAACAATTTATAATCCATAATTAATATAATTGTAAATATTGGATCTTTATAATCAATAACAATTTAATATTAATTATTTAATTTTAGAATATCTCAATGCCCTGCATTTAATATCATAACATTTGTTAAAATTTAATATTATAAAATTAAATAAATTCAAACAAACCTAAAATCTATTGTTAAGGTCCAATGATACGTTTAAATAATGAATTTTTGACTATTATCATTATAAATGTGTTCAGTAACATTTTAATTCGATTACCTGATGATGATTCGTCTGTGGATTATCGTTAGTGGTTTCTTGTGCTGGTGGTGGCGGTGGTGGAGGGCTAGTTCGTGGACGAAGAGGAGACCCTCCACCATTCGCTGCTACATTTGCTGGTGCTAATGGAATAGATGGACCGACATACGCTCCTGAAATTCGAACAAATCTTATCGCATTGCTATCGTTATTATAATTTTTGTTTATTATACATCATTAACGTGATCAACTGATTTCCAATTGTCAAAAATTCAATATTACTCGAAATAATAATCAATAAGTATTAGATAGGAACAAAAAGAATTCCAACGATTCATTGAAAGACAGAAATAGATATTCTTTCCTCTCTTCATGATGACGTCGTCCGATTATGCTAATTGCAATGAATGTACTTTTGTCATTCATTCATTGCATCGAGGGCAGACAGACTTCGTTTCCTTATAAATAAATAGACAATAATGACAATTCGATTAATTTCCAAACATTTAGAATCGAATGAAAAGACAACTATTTCCCGTTAAAAACCACATAGTCAAAAAACCGACGTAACGTTTATGTTTTTAACATTCAACATAGTATTACATTGTAACGCATAACAGTAGCCATACAAACTATACCTGTTCATTCTTGTTACGACGTAACCTATGATGAATGTTAAAAAGAAGTATAAAGACGAATATATTTCTTTCTTTGAACTCGTTTTATTTCAGCTTTAAGTTGGGTTAGTTAAACGTTATCATAAAATTGATATTCTACAAGAGATCGCTAACTGAACGAGACATACAAGACATGCCATCTGTGTCACCAGCTGTGTACGAAGTTTTCGTGAGTTATTTGTTTGAGCGCGCGACCATTGCTATACACGAATATTGAGTGTCTCAATATTAGTGTAATGTATAATGTATTGGTATAATGTACTCACAGAAGAATTGCGAAGTTACACATTTTGATATTGTTTACGAATTATTTATATATTATTTCAGGTCACTTTCAACGATAAAATCATTAATATGCGACGCACGTGTTACTCGTAAACATTTATTTACTGTAAAGATTCAATTGTACGATATACTACATGATATCACAATATTATATATATAGTGGCTGGCCTTCGAATTTTCGATATGTTGGTTAAAGATAATACAAAAAATTTTGAACTTTCATGAAATATATTTTAATTGATTTCAATCATAATTTAATTGCAATTAACAATATTGTATAGAATAAAAATATAATAATTTGGAATTTTAATGAAATATTGAAATCGATTATAATATTCATAAATAAAATAATAAAAAATCATTATGAAACATCATATAATATTACAATGTTACATTGCTAATTTTTTTAAATTTCATATTCATTAACACAAAAATATTAGCATTAAATAGCATTAAATAGTATTTCATTGACAATATGATATATATATATCGCTTTGTCTAATAGTTGTCTAAACGTTCTTTTAATTAATCTATTAAACATTAATCTTTCAAATAAGATAAATATTGAACGCTTTTTTGGACTATCAATCGAAACTGATTTTTAATTGAAATTGAAATTTCAAAATTAGCTTAAAAAACAAATTCCATGTATATATATGTAATATATATATTAAAATTTTTTCAAACACTATCGATTTCTATATTTAAGATTCATACGACATATGGAATACTTGAAGGATTAGAAAATGTCAATAAATAAAAGAAAAATATTCTGTCATATTTATTTCATTTAATAATGTTTCTATTTATTAACTTCATTGAACATTATTAAATAGAAGTTAATAAAATAAAAAAATAATAAAATTAATAAACAATAATCCTTTTTATTTGTCAATTAAAAAGTTCATGGAAATAATATTAATAATTTTTATATGCAAATAATATCGATTTTTCATAAATAATTTATCAAAATAGAGAGTAAAAAATATAAAATAAATTCTTTATTTAATCACATTGAATATTCATATTTAAGAATGGTAAACTTCCACAAGCAGATTTACAAATCGTGACAATACTCTATCATTTCATGTTATCAGTTATATACTATATACAATGAAATTTATAATATGTTCTTTTTCAATGATCACATATATCATTATTTTTCTCGGCGCAATATTTGTATGTTTTCAAATTCACATATGAAGAAACGCATGCCACTGGCATGAACAGATAAGTGAATCGATATTAAGAAAAAAGTATCGTTTCGTCACGTTCTATGAAGGACCGTGACACGCGATATCTTTGTCAAGTATATCCATGACAAGCTTGTGTATTTCAATGCAACGCAGCATCCGCACGTATCTGTCCCCACTACAAATAACCAACTATACAAATCATCGAGGTCTCGAGTAAAGTGTGGTCTACCATCGAGAAGATGTGTGACCGGTACTTTTCCGTGACGACTTTGATAAAGCGAAAACCGTTGCCACTCTCTATCTTTTCAATCATACACGAAGAAACGTAACAGCAACTCTGCCATACCGAAAGAAATGAAGGAAAATGACAAGTTGAAGAGAAGCTGACGAAGCAAGAGAAGCAAGAGACCGAAGGAAAAGAAAACGCATGCGCAGTTTTGTAACAGACATCGCATCACGCATGTAGGCGGTCGGCTTAGTCATACTCTGCGCTTTGTATAACGTTGTTAACCGGTCGGCTATAGTGGCCTTGTTTCGAAAGTATGACCCTCCCAACGCGTCGTTGACGCCGTCAACGCGCACATTTACGGTTGACGTCTCTCTACATAGTGATCCGAAATGTTTAGGTTACATTTCTTACTAACTTAAAGCTAACCTTGGTAAATTATTCATAACACGAGGAAACATATTTAACTTGTAAATAATCTAAATATTGACGACATTTATCACTTAGACAAAGATATATTCTACGTCGTATTCTATTTTGCGACGAAAGTCGAATAATCGAAAACAAAATCGCTCTTTTAATACTTTATATGAATAGTAACAGTAAAACTAATATAAATATACATAAAGATAGAAGGTTTTTATCGATATATAATATTCTTTACTTAGTATAGTCTCTCTCTATGAGAGTAAAGTTTTTCATGTATTTTGCAACGTCTTGTATGCAGCACGATGCGAAGAGAAGAGAGACGAACGTACATGCGAACACGATACTTGCCCAGTGACGTAGGACGAAGCCAATGTATACATGCTCTGTACGCGATCGATCGAGCATAGTCGAGAACTCACGAACTGTGGCGATCATTGCGAAACATGATTCAGGTTTACTGTTCTCGTTTACTCAGTTACTACAGTTGCTGATAGGCCATTATTTCTCATCCATCTCTTTCGTATGCAAGTATATATGATTATATATATATTTGATTCTTTGAATAAAAAAAATTAATAAATATTTTTTGCAATTTATAATATATCAAAAATTGATATTATTTTAAAAAATAATCAATGATAAAAATATTAGAACATATTAAATTAAAATTTTTAATTATTTTTTATTTAAATTATATGTACATATTTTTTTATTAAATTTATATAGAAAATATTAGCGTTTAAGGAACAGGAAAGTATTTTAAATTTCTTTATTAACAAAATAACAGTGCTTAATATTGCTTAACAGTCTGAGAGTGACGAGAGAAAATAAAACGTGCACACAGAGTAAAATGAGCAATAAATTTAAGTAGCAAGAGAGGGAAAATATCACATGAGCGGTCAGATAATTGTACGTAGAATTATATTGTCCCGACTGTTTTAATACGATAAGGATAAACAAAGATGATATTATAATGTTTGCTACTATATGTTTATGAAAATAAATATATATTACTTATTATATTACTTAAAATTATAAAAAAAATATGCACAAATTTAAATATAACAAATAACAAACTTAACTAAAAATAAATTTTAAAAATTCCAACTTAACTAAACAAATTAATAGCAATTTAATCTAACCTGTTTCTATTATTAAGAAAATAAAATCTTCTTATCAACATACATATTAAAATAATGAAATGAAAAATTTTTTATTCTATACAAATTTTCTCGAAAATTCATATTTATTTCCAGACTCTACTATTTGCCAGCGGTAATCTATTTTTATCAAAACATACGTACGCAAACAGGAATTCTATATTTCCGTTGAAAACGATATCACTAAGAATAAAAAAAGATGAGACAAAAAGAAACAGAATTAAGTCAAAATATCATTTTGATTATTGTTCCATGTAGAAAAAATTTCTTAGCCACAATCCAAATGTATTTACAGCTATCATCAACAGTTAACCAGACCTCCATGTTTCATTATAACATCTATCTTTTATATATATATATATATCTTAAAAGCACAATTTACGACGTATTTTCCGTTTTCTAGCGTATCTGATTCCGTTCATCCAATTTGATTCCGTTTACCTAATTCAAGTATTCCACGCGATCATTTTATATAAAACAGCTTTTAATAATTTTAAATTTTTCCAAAATGATTTATATAATTTATCAATTAATCATTTTATTTGAAAATAAATGATAACTATTAAGCCTCGTAATCGAAAAATATTGAAATTAGATAAAATCATTGACATTGTCCCGTTATTTTATCAAATCTTTAATTCAGATATGCTTGAATATTTTTATAATATTTAAACAACTTTTTTTTTATACTTAACATGCAAGAAATAAATATTATTAAAAATATTTTAAAAAAATAAATGTTATTTGAAAAAAATGATTAATATAATATAAAATCTTAAATTTTCAAAATATAAATGTATTGTAAGAATATAATTATTTTTACAAAAATTGGAAAATTATTTATTTTAATATAAGTTTTATTAAAATATCTTTAAAAATATTTTTATGTAAATATTAATTTGATTATAAAAAATCAATAAATAAAATCAATTAACATAATAATCTAAAAATTTCAATAGATAACAATTGGAACGCTACTTTTCTTAATTATATCACGAAAAATTTAAGAGATATTCGAAATATACTTTTTCATGATTTAAACAATAATAAATCACGATCGTTTCTCGGAATGGTGAATATGATGCTAAATTTTTGTTCCGCGAAAAGAAACAGTCAAAATTTTCCAGGAAATATTTATAGCGAGAAGCGAAACGGTAGGACAGATGGCCAACCCGCAGTCATTGCAGCGAACCACCACTCGATAACCGTAAACACACGCGCGTTAAGGTCGAATTAGAAAGTGGCCAGTGTCGAAATAACGGTCGATGACCAAGGTCACCCCGACTGTACGTACTGTACATATATGTACAGGCGCAGCAAACGCGAATCTCAACTCGAGTATCGTCAACTCGTCTCGTCAATGAGCTACGTACAACGGAAAGAAAAAAGAAGATACTAGATAAAAAGAAGACTACGCTACAGTTACGTTTACGATGCAGTCGTGAAAAAAAGAAAATATATTACGTACAAATAGAAAAGTTTTCAAAAGTATTGAAATAATATTGAAATAATATGAACGTAGTATTTCAATTAATAAAAAAAAAATTTTTTGTAAAAATTATGCTTTTTATGTACTGTTTGAAAATATATATAAATAACAGGTACTTTAGAATATGAAATTTACATAGTTTAAAAAGAAAAACACCTTATAGTTTTGTAATCTGTTTTTCTTTTTAAAGGGATTGCTTATCTGATTGATTACAAACTAGCAATGAAATTATATTTGTAAAATATTTGCAATGGTTGATGAGATTTGTATTGAGCAACAACGAACTCATTCATTGTATCTAAATATACTGAGTGACGTCATTCGATTGGACGTCACGGCACGGTACGGCACGGCAACTCGGTGTATCTTTTGGTCGTCTCATCACGTGCTCAACGTACGTCTCCTTTATACGCGTTTGGACGACTGCCGTTCGTCCAGAATGAAGGAGGAACTGGTTGAAAGAAACGAAGAGGGAACTCGAAGCATTCACTCGGAACCGCAAGCAATGAGTGATTGTGATATGGTAGAAAGAAAGAGAGAAGAAAGATGTAATTTTCTTTTACTGTGCGCGATGATTCCTCGAAGCCCAAAGGCTGAATTTTAACTCATGCACGCGGCTCTTTTCTCGTGCCAGATGGCCACGCGAACGACTAAACGTTTTCCTATTTTTACTACCAGCCGATAAGAACATGCAAAGAAAACCATCTGGTTCAAAATGGAAGAAAGTAAAATACTTTAATTATAAGGCGATATGATCGATAAAATATATATATTTCAATTATAAATAATAGTTTAATATTATAATAGGATATTAGAATGATTCGGAATGAGATCGGAAAAAATATCTAAATTATCTTCCAAACTATTTAACTTTTTGCAAGATAATATTTTACTTATAATCTTATAAAAAGATAATATGAAAAAATAATTTTATAAATATATCTATAAATACATCTATAGATAATTTTAGGTTAAAATCAAAAATAATGAAAAGATTAAGAAATTTAAAATGGAATATTCATAAGTTATTCACAATACAAATATCCACATTGTGCTATCTGCGTATAACTCACCATTGGCCTTGAATGAAGTGGCGGTCTCAAAGCTGGGTGCTCTCACAGGATGTTTCTCCTTGCTTCTATCTTGTACATAACTGACGGCAAGACTTACAGCTGGCAAGGAATCACCTCTAGTCAATGGTGGCCTGACCGAATGCTGTTCTTCCAACGAAAGTCTCTTTTCAGCATGCTCATCCTCATCGATTGTAGAAATACTTCGTTTGAGTTGTGCGATACCTCTGTTGTGGCTAAGATTCACGTGATGCGCCACTGCAGCTAGGTGGGCGTTTGGGATTCTTACGTTATTACTCCTCATGCCATTCGCAATCTCATGAGTTTCCTCGTGTTGCCGAGAAATTTGCTGTCTTGATGTACCTGAGTTAAATTCGGTAATGGAGTTTCGATGATGAAGCTGCGAATAACTAGCAATATTGTGATGCCTTGAATGGTTTTGACCAGTATTCTGTATCGGTAGAACGTCCAAATTAGCACCTCCATTGTGTTCAGTATGTCCGGATGTTCTATAAGCTTTTGATGTAGAAGATCTAGCTTCATGGAAACCGTGTGCTTTTTTCATTTGCTTAGCCGATTCCAATACTGCATCTATTCTATCGGCACCTTCATAATTCACACAACCACGGCACACGGGTTCCGAAAATTCCGTGATCATTGCCCAGGGCATTCTAGGCAGATCGCACAAGTAGCACTGCGTTCTCTTCCCCATCATTTTGGTCGATTTCTTCGTCCACGAATATTCCGCCGAGTCGTCGTCGTTGTCACAACGTACTAACGTATCACTCACATCCACTTTTTCACGTCTATTATTCTGTTTCTGTATATCCTTTATGCACTTTTTGGATGCACGATAACGGTTTTATAGCATATTTATTATGAGAGACTGTACTAGTCTCCGAAAAATAAACACCACGTAAAATCAATTTCACTCTCGAAAAAATCACTCAATATATTCCCATTATATTTCCGTCTTCCACGTTTCCTTTCCACTTTGTATCGTAACTAATGGATTGTATCGTAACGCCACGAAAAATGATGTTCAAAAGTTTGAAAATATTGAGCATCGAAATTTTAGCAAACGCGTATTACTAGCGCTCGAAGTGAGCGACGCGCCGTAAAGGCGGAGCAAAGAAAAAGAAGAACACGTTACTCGGACGCCAGATATTTTTACCACACTTATTCTAGCAATAAACGTTTATCGAAAACTGACTAACGACTAAGCGTCATTAATACTGATGCACAGATGTACGCTGCTGATACGTATACAAGAGAAACCGTATTCTAGGTTGAACACGAGACACGAAATAATGGTATGCGCGCGACACGACGACGTGCATTCGCTCGCTTGCTTGCCGTACGAGGAGACGAACGGAGACGAACGCTCGAGAATGCGGCGGTAAAGCGGAGCTACGGGTGTCGCTCTCTTCCCCCTCACCGATCCTTCCCTTTTCCTTGCCCCGCTTTACCTTCCACTATTCGACAACGCGACGACGACGACACAACGACGGCTACGACGCGCTCCGCCAATCGGGCGTTGTGGCGTCATGGTGCATGACGTCATAATCGCAAAGCTGCGCATGCGCATAGATGTTTGCCCTAGGGGGACACGTAGTCAGCGACCGGGACTTGAGCGCGAACACACTGATCGAGTGAATAAGAGAAAAAGAGAGGGGAAAAGAGTTGAGAAAAAAGATGACGATAATACGCGCGCGCACTCGTTCCATACCCACTCTTCGCAACGAGAGGTCCACTTTACACTCGAGAAAATGCTGTTAACGAACTACTCTTCAGTTTTACTGAATATAGATAAAATCTTATAATTTATTAGGAAGTTAAACTGACGATTATTCAATTGACTGAATATCTAATACAGATTATTTTTGTTTCTCTTTTTAATTTAATTATGTTAACAATATAATTCTCGATAGAATATATGTACGTAGAAAAATTGAAAAATTGGCTCCACCCATTCTAATCTGCATATGATATCTCAAATTTTAGTTGACTTCGAATTAAAATGGGGCTTAGTAAGAAATATGATTGTATTTATTTAAGAGACTATGAACAGAAATCTAAAATCGGATTACGCTCTAGTTGTATTCAATGTTTATTAATATACTTAATTGACGAGAATAATGAACGAAGATATAAAATAATATATAAATATATATCAATGCTGGTATACAACTTACTATGTACTATCTTAATGTATACAATTTTAAGCATTTTGCTATATATTTGCTATATTTATAATTTAGCATTACAATTATGTAACAATTAAAATTTAGAAATATTTATTTTATTTTATATTATATAAATTATTAGAAATAAAAAACTTTACTAATTCTTTCAATCTAACTTACTTATTTTCAAAGTTTTTTCACGAAATATAAAAAGTTTTATTTTTTCAATTTATAATTATTATATTAATTTTTTACATAACGAATGTAAAAAATTTTATTCGAAAACAATTATTGTATACGATTTCATATATAATTCTCGAAATGATTCTTTCATTTTTTTCATGACAATCTTAATAGCATCAATTTAATCTTCTTTTATCTTAATTGCTGTTCTCTGTTGATTAATGACTTTGATTCAATGAGACATGTGTAAAGTGCAATCTTAGAATGTGCTCAAACGAAATTATTTAAACCAAATGACAATGGCTATTCTTACTATAATATGAACCCGGTGATCACATAGTGGCATGCCGTTTTATCAGGTTTTCTGTCTGATAAGGAAATAGCGATAACAGGAGGCTTGGCATTCAGAATATATGCATAGATAATTTAGTTATTGATTGCATTGTTATTGTTCAACAACAAATGATGCGTAATGGAACTTCAGATTATGTTTTATAGATATCCACTGATAAATTATTTTTGTAATAGTATTTTTATATAATTAATTATTAATTACATAGATATTTTATAATAGTTTTATGACTTAAACAAAAAAATTAATCTCTGTATTAACTGTAAATAATATTGTAAAAAAAAAAAGAAAGAAAGATACGATAAGATAGTAACATCTTATCAGAAAACGTATTAAATTATATGATTATTGTATTCACGATAATATCTTTTCGTCATCTATAACTCGATATATGATGTTGAAATCAATTTTATATCTTATGTTAAGCAAAACGCGATAAAAATTCATGTAATCTTTGAAAATAATACATAATGTTGCATACATATATAATAAAACTTTAATTATAACATAATTTTAAAATTTAATTTAAATGTATTCTTATTAATATATGTAATGAAAAAAAGTAATTTTATTCTATATAGAAAAAGATACATACATATATATATATTATATATATATATACATATATAAAAACTGAAAAATATAATTCTATTACTATTCATTCTAGGAATATTATGATGTGCATTTTAAGAGTTCAATACATTGTCCAATATTGAATGTTTAAAGAAATGACATCACTCTAATCACATCAAACTATGATATGATTTCGTAATATAAATCTTAGATGCAATGATGTAAAAAAACAAAAACTTTACACATATTAATACATATTTAATACATATATATACAATCTATACGAAACGAAACAAAGAAAAATGAATAACTATTAATAAAAATAAAATAAAATAAAAATGAATATATAGTTTTGTGTATCTATAATTCTACTATCATAATTTGCTTTATTGTATAAAATAAAAAGAAAGATCATTCTATTGCAGTCAATAAAAATCAATATATCATAGCATATTTCAAATTAATTTTTTAGTATATTTTTATTAATTTTCAAAAATTGCATTTAAAAAACATCTATATCATTATTTTATCGAAAATCTTAATTAATCTTTATTTTCTACAATTTGTATTAATAAAAAGAATTGTTTGAATATATACATATACCGATCAAAAATTTGATCAATTGGTAATTTTAATACAACTTGTTTTTAATTTTTGATTTTATATGCAAGATAATTCAATTCAGTTAAATTTACAGAACATATCAAATGCATCAAATCCATTTAATTACAACTAAGAATTGATAACTCTATCACTAATTTCGATTTTACCGATTAATTCTTCCATGTTCTGTGTCAGCAAAGGATCTACATAATTATTTTTCCGAGTGTACTCACGCGGCAATTTTGCAGGGCACACTGCATATTAATGATACACACACTTATAAAAAGATCATGTATTTAATAATGACAAGTACCAGCTACATTAGGCTACCATATTTTATAGGGGCGTCTGATAGGGCGACTTTATCTAGCGCGACGCGCTGCAAAATTATTTCCGCTTCGTCGAGACACGCGGTAGACACGTCTGGCTCGATGACACCTTCTTTAATATACTTTAATTTCTAATTTGTCTGCATTACTACATTACGACTACAATCAAATGCAATTACATTAAAATTATATTAAAATTGTATATTTCACGTATGTTATACGTAATACATTAATACATAAGTTTATCAAAAAATATATGCGATATATTTAATTTACAAAATAAAATCTTTCATATAAACATGTATTTATGTATATATAAAAAGATAAACATTCGAAAAATATATCTTTTAATAAAAACATGATTTTATTAATTTCGTGTTATCTATATATACTCGATAACGATCTACTTTGAACGGAAGATTTTTTCAAACGAATCTGGTCACGTGATAGAATCTTATGTTTACAATCTTGCAAAAAATTTGATATCATTTACTAGATTATCATTGATGATAGAAGAACCAACCAGTGCAAACGACAATCATTACGCCGAGAATTATAATTTCTTAAATATTAATATTTGATAACTTAAATGACAGTAAATATCCGGACACACCTGGTAAGTCATATGTCATAGGATTATATGTATAATTATCGCTGCTGAATCATTATATAATAGAATTTAAAAATTCTTAAACGGAATGCTTTGCTATTGGTAGCGTACAAAAACAAGATAATTTATTTTTTTCTTGCGCAAAAAATCATCGCAAATCATCAACACTTTGCAGCAATAATAATCTTAATAATCTATATCTACTATTTTTTATTGATTTTTAAATTTCGCTAAAGAAACAACATTAAAAAATTAGAAATAATTGCATAATAATAAAATACATTAAAGAAATTTACGGCAAATAATCAATATTTGAAGAATAATTTATATACATTTATTAAAAATTTTAATGAATCTTGATTTGAGAAGCATATTGACCTAAAAATTTTATCGGTTGAATTATAATATTATTTTTCTTAAATTTACGCCTTTATCGAAATGAGTATAAAAGTAAAGTATAAAAGATGTAATTTTTACATTTCACTAACAATAAGTGTAAATAAAACGGTTAGATATAATCTCTGATTATTTCTATCAAGTAACAAAGAGAGCGTTGTACTTTTCCGAGCGTAAGTTTGGTTTTACCGGCGAGCTGCTTTACGTGCTCGTTCGAGAGTCGTATGTCTTGTGACGTCACGAGATTGTGGCAACATTGCGAAAAATCATGCAGCGTTGTCAGACTTCCTTATGTGCCGGAAATTCAAAGCCTCTTTCCTTGCTATGTAGATTCGTATAAGTTCTGCTTATTTTTCAAACATTCGACGATTTAAATAAAGACTTTATTATTCTCATATGTACATATATATTTTTCATATTTCTTAATCTGTTTTAATTAATTTGAAAAGTGTATCAATCAAAAAAAACCCATCACAGTTCCATAATGAAAGTACCTTCAGTGTGGTTCGATCGTAAAGAACAGCACGTTGTTCAGAACGGATAATATCATTCTGTCACGTCACAATATACGCTAGCCAGAGAAAATCAATCCGGCGCTTCTCTACTAACCTTTTGCCTGAAAAGCGTTGCGCTTGCTACTATCCAAATCAAAAACACTAGATTCTTCAAGGGTCCATTGCGATATTGACCCGAGGTTGCGTTAGGTTATTTCTGCTAAGGTTCATATACCTTTTCAGATGAATATTCAAATTTTTTGTAAATGTATTTTTAGTTTTTCTCTCTATAGTATATATTATACGCATATTACAAAAAATATTTTGTAAATCGTCTGGCTGTCCTTGACCTCATTGATAGTTCAAACAGTTAAAATCGTATATTGTATACATACATAAATGTTTGATCCTGGTTGTTTTAATTTTATAATTATTTATATAATTTAATAATAATTATTATAATTATAATTATTATTATTAATAATAAAATTAACAGATAAAAGAAATGCTTCTTAAATTAATACAATGTTTAAAATAAAATTAAGATTTGTAGATTTATAAATATATTTTTTATATCTTAAATACAATTTTGTAGCTATTCTTTGCGTAAGATATTAACTTTTATTTTATGCAAATATTTAATACAATTATGATTTTATTAATAAAATAACAAATTTTATAGATCTAAATATCTCTCTTTCCAATAGAAGAATATAAGAAAAATATGCTTAATTTTTTTTTATCAATGGGTCAAATCAAAATGGCAACGACCCAGAGAGTTCGCGTGACGAGAAATCGTCAGGAATACGAATGATCCTTTAAATCAACCCCCGTGCAATGTTTACCGTTCGAAATGGACCAAGGGAAGAGGATATGCGCGCGATATACGACCTAATTCAGTACCCTACTGATAATGATGACGTCACGATAGCTCGTCTACTTGTTACTAGTCACGGACGCTACGTGACACGAGACTAAACTGTAGAGATGAGCAGGATGATAATGGTGCTACTCTACATTACGTTATGTGTTACGCTATTTCTCGTGACACAACACGCAGTTAATTTATTCTCTCGTCAATATTTTATTATCCATTCGATCCATTTGGCGAAAATATGATGTTAATTACTATTCAACATGAATTTTAGTATTCCGTTTTCATAATTTATTTTATTCTTAGTTTTTACGCATGTATATATAGGATTAAAACTTTTGAAAGCAATAAGCTAAATAACTAGCATCGATTTAAGTCGAAGACACGCAAAACGTGAGAAAATGAAAGTAGCGGCGGGTCGCTTTTAGATCGATCAACCAACAGCAATAAGAGCCGCCAAGAGAACGGGGACCAGTTGTCGTCTCTCTATCGTTCTTTCGTTGGCATCACAAGATTGCGCGATGATGTCATGTATTCGGCCGAGTTTATGCGTGTTTGTAAACAGGCAAAGAGAAAAAGAGAAATAGTTCAGAAAGATGAACAAGGACGAAATAAGGAGTGGGAGTAAACGTGAAGGAGAAAGGGGGAACGAGAAGGGAGCGAGAGGGGAGAAAAAGTGCCTTGTGTCAGACACCTTGCCGTTCTGACTGCGCAGCATCTCGCTTGTTTCTCGTACGCCTTCGTCGAAGCTCCCTACGCAGCGTCGCTCATCTCGTTTTCTCGTATACGAGCGTGACGTCATGCTGCAAGTTGCACGGGAGTAACCGAGCGAGGAAAGGGGATAAGAGGGGAGCAGTTACGTGGGGATATAGAACGAGCGAACGTGCGCGCGCGCATCAGAAAGCCGCAGCGTCGATGGATTTGCTGTTACCTGCATGGAGTGGACTGCATGCAGAATACACGCGAGGTGACATCGTCGTATGTGTCGTTGGTTAGCTGATTTTCCCTCTTCCCTTCGTTCACCTACCTAACCTCTCGACAGAACATAACCGGTTCCGCGCCGCGTGCAAACTCCTTCCATCCTCCTACCCCTCGACTGTCTCCTTCCTTCCCGTAGTTTCTTTTCTTTTCATACAAACCTATCTCTCTTCCGAACCGTTCCGACCTCCCCCATTCGTTCTTTCTCACTTTTCTTTCTCGCATTTCATTCTCGCTTCCTCTTTTTTCAAGTACTATACTCGAACCACGGAACGGATCGAGTTAATCGCTGGCTGCTCGTCTACTGCTATTCGACAGCGTTGCATTTTATATGCTTTTCTCTCGTTCTCTTTCGTCACTGATGTACAACATACATTTAAACATTAACACAGAGAGCGATTCCGCGGTCATCCAGCGGGATGTGCTACTTTATGCCGTATTTCTTTCTTTTTCTCCTTTCTCTGTCTCGTTTGTGCGATTCGATATACAGCTTTTCGCTACGCTACAGTTGCTGCCTCGGTCAATATCACATCGTTTTCTGACTACGCGCAGTGCGCGTTAATGCCATACAATTCGCGGTCTCGTTTTTAGTATAGGTTAGATCAGTCAGGTCATATACCTGTTTTTGCCACAAAGATGTGATATCTTATTATAAAATTGCCATTTTGTTAATAAATAATTGATAGAAAAACTAAATATCGATATATCAAAATAATCGTTTTAAAATATATGAATGATAAAAGTTATTTACTTTGTTTTTCATATGGTTATTCTAGGTGAAAAATGAAAAATTTTTGCATCTATAATGTATTTTTTGAAACATATCTTTAAAAATAACAAATGTCATTTATTATGCTATAAAATATTACAATGAAGACATTAATATAGAAGATAAAGAATATAGTTTGCAAAATTCTATAAGAATTTTTATAGTTTTAAGAAAACTTCAACAAAACAGTTAATCAAATATGTATTTTTAGTATACTGTGATAACTGGTTATTTATATCATTTATATGAAAGGAAGTTAAACTTATTTCGATTAATACACTTTGTATTTTTTTCATTATTACTATTAAATTTTGATTTATAAAATTTCTTATTTTTTTATGATCACTCACTGGCAGAATTAAAAATACATATATATAAATATTTACATTTCATTTCATTGATGTTATTTTAATATGTTAATTTAATTTATCAAAAAAACTATCATTTCATTAATATGTAAGTGTGATTCTTAAAAAACTATTGAAATTATCAACTATCGAAAAAATCGAAATCATTCTTATGCATTTTTTGTTCATGTCCTCATAACTTGATCTATTTTTATGTGATATGACATACATATGTATATATAATAGCTATTGCAAAGACGATGGCGGCGGGGCAATGCCACGAATCGTGGCCCGACGGAGACGATGGTCTATGCGCATATTGTACCGGACGGTTAATGGCATGATGGCGTGACATCGGTGCACATTGCACACGCACACTGCGAGTAAGGCGAACAGAACGGAACGGGATGGAACAGAACCGAGTGGAACAGAACGGAATGGAACGAAACGAAACGAAAGACCGGAACGCGATGTCGCGTGTCCTATGTTGTATTCGCGTGTGTCGCAAATATTACACGCGATCCTTCAACTAAATGCTTTAGTGCACGAATGTATTCGTACATCGTTTTGCTTCTTCGTTTTCTTTCTAAAGTTTAACTCTTTAACTCTCACAATCGCTGTGATTATTACTTTATGCTATATTATACGCGAGATTAGACGAGTTTATTAAAGGCTATAAAAAGGCTATAAATCTCGGAAAAAAAATGTATAACGATTATTTTTTTGATGTATTGCATTTTATCTTATATATATTGATTAATGTAAGTATTTATGTACGAAGGAAAAGCCATGGTCAGTATGAAAAATGAATATTTTTAACTTCCATATAATACATATTGTGCAGATATAATCTAAAAAATAAAACATATTTAACAGCTACTGAATGAAATGGATGTATGCGTATTCTTTTATCAGAAACTCATGAAAAAATATTTTACAATGAGACGATCATACTTTTTGCAAAAAGAAATAAACTAGGAAAAATTTCAGAACATTCACGAAATATTTTACATTAACATGTTAATGTTTTCATTTTTGATTTGTTATAATCATATATATGTTATATATATTAAAGGAGTTTTAAATTTAAACTTTTAGTTGTCATACGTAACTTACATTATGTTTATGTTAATTAATAATCAATTTTATTATATTTTTAAAACTTTTTCTTAAATATTATTTACTATATAATTAATTTCTCATATATATAATAAATTTATACTATATCAAACAACTAAAACAAGTTTTATTATTAATTAGATAGATAAAAGATAATGTAAAGAAATTATTATATATATTAAAATAAGATTTAATATTAATATTTTTATAATAATAATTTTTTACTGATTTTAATTTTTTTCACATTTTTTAAAATTTTGTTATTCTAACTTGTTACATTATTAATTTAAAATATTATATTTAATTACAGGAAGAAGTTGTTCTTTTTATTAAAATGGATCAATATATTTTTTGTTTTTATTTTTTATTCCAATCATTTATAACTAGTGTATGTTTACATTAATAATAATAATATATAATAAATGAACAACAATTCTATTATTTATTAATGAAATGTTAGAGATTTTTTTTCAATCACTTTTTTAATATTACTATTAATCATTTGACTTGATCTTTTTCGAAAATAACATCATATATATCAACAATGTGTCTACGTATAACTTTTACACAATTACGTCAAAAACAAAGCATGCAACAGAACAGCTGTACAAAGACGAACTGCCATGAAACTCGATCATCTTCTTATTAGTGGGTTAAGGAAGCGGATCGACGCGAAATTTAAAAAGTCAACGGGCCGATTATCCGCGACTGGATCTTCATCAGATATGGAAAAAAAAAAGGGAAATGAGAGAATGTTAGTTCGGTTTGCACCCTCTTCTTTGTTTCGAGACACGGCGTGCCGTTAAAGCCGTAGGAAGAAGAAACACCTGACGATGTCAGGCGAACGAGCGGCCCGCGTACCAACGTGCATACTTGTGGCAGGTGAATCGAGTCAGGTGCCCCAGCAGATGGGTACCTTTACTCGAGAAAGCGTTATAAAAGCGGTCTATCTTACAAATGTGGGTTACCTAGAACTAACATCAACTATTGGAATAACCTTGCGATTTTATAAATTATGATGATGGATTTTATTCAATAAATGGTTTGGAAATTTGAAATGAATTTTTTCTGATTTTTTTGAACGACAAGAAACTGTAGGAATGGCATATAATCACCGAAAATCATTTTAGATTTTTTTATATTGGATACATAATAAATCGACAAATTTTTATTTTTGTTATCTACGTATCTGTTCTAATATATATAATATACTTTCTCTTTCATGAGAAATATATAATATTTATTTCTTCTATTATTTATATAAAATTTACATATTAACATATTGTTAATTAAAATTAATATATTTCTTTTAATATATATAAGCAGGTGATGCAATGAAGAGATGAATAAAATTAAATAATTACATAATTATATTCATATTATAATAATAATTATAATATGTATCGATTATTATAATAGTATTATAATAATTGAATATAAGTATCATGCTGTTACAAAAGTAAAGATACCATTATACAGATATGTATGACATGACAAATTAATAATAGATTTTCAAAAAGTTGATTCATTTATAAGAATGCAAATTTTTCGAACATTTATTTTTTAAATATTTGTTTTTCAAGTTTTCACTATCAACAAAAATGAATATATGAATCATTGTAAATCATGAATCAACATATATGTAATATGTATATTTTTAAATATTATTTTGTTATATATATATTATCTAACATATATTCATTTACATTTAACTACTTATTCCTATTTATTCCTATAAGAAAATATAAGATTATATTTTATATAATAATAATGATTGAAAAATATCTAAATGATCAATTAAATTTATTTTATTTTTTTGATAAGTATTATAAATTTTTTTTTAGCTGTGTGCCAAAAGTTTTAGATATAAAAATTTAATCTAACAACAAAATTAAAATTATAAATTTTAGTGATATATTTTTTATATCTTTATATTTTTTATTTCTCTTCAATATTTTTCAATATTTTTCACTTCAGAATTTACATATAAGTTGCTTTATGATATCTCTTAAGTAAATATTTTTGAGCATCATACAATTGTCACTGCGTTTCTTCTTTTTCTTATAAATTGTTGACGAAATATACTTTGCATATAAATATAAGTAAAAGAAATAAAAGAATTTAGTATCAGTGGCGCCATCTTGTGGATAAATACCGGAAGCTTCGACTTGTTAATAGGAATACAGAATATACAAGGAGATATTCGTGACGTCACGGATAAAAAGGAATGGCATTAATTTTGCTTATGCACCTCCTGATACTTTTCTTTTATCAAAAATGCAATATTGAAAATTATTTAATTAGAATTTTTCTATTAAAAATTTCTGCATTTTTAAGCTTATATCTTATTGCAAATGTAAAATTTGAAATTTTTCTTGTATAAATTTTAATGAGAAATTTTTAATTAATTATTTATGTTATATTTGCATTCAATGCAATATAATGGAAAGTATTAGGCTTATAACGTTCTTTATCCTTCTATCTAATTCCCTTCTTGTCTATGTATAATACTAAATATTGTAAATTTTTACCATCAGAAATTTCAATTTTGTATCAAAAGAATATAATTTGAGAAAAGGTGGCATAAAAATTTTTTATATAAATAAAATTCAAATATATTGGAAAACAATAAGAAGTAAATATTATATATTTGTCAGATTCAACTATGATACTAAATAATAATACTATAAATATTTAAAAACTCAATTAAAACTCGAGCAAAATTTAATCCGATCTTTTTTTATCAACTTCCTTCTCTGAACATGAAAATCAGTAAGAAACATGAATCTTAGATGTATTAAGATGTTTTAATAGACGTCCAAACAGGAAATACTATTCCTCATTCGTCAGCAAGAAATAGTAAGATTTAAACGTCCTTCGAAGCGTTCTCATCAAGCGGACGAGTATAACGAGCGGATCTTTTTCTTTTTTTTTCTTCCTTTTTTTTCCACATAAGACACGTGTCGTGCGCGCTGCACACGTAGTATGCATCTTTGGTGTATGCAGTCGCGCGTACAAGAAACTATGTGCAGTCACGTGTTACGAGTGGAATAGCGAAAACGTGATGCGATTATGCATTCTTCCTACGTCGTCATTTCTCGCTTGGTACGAGCCGAGTCTCGCGTCTAGATATACATACTTATTAACCTAACGTTTTATGGTAATTCTATTAAACGTTTCTTCTTCACACCCGACGCCACCGGATTTCAGCGACTAGATTCATCACGAGATCGATGACGATGTAGGTAAATCGCTATACAAATAAAATTAAATAACTAAAATAAATAATTATGATAAGTGACATTAGGAGAAATGGAGTAGATTAATATTTTCCATATTATTTTTAAAATAGGTAATTTAAAATATGATATTATTTTATTTTTAATTATTATAAATAAGCTTGTCTATGAATTTTGAATCAATTTATTTGATGTTAGATTTAACATTTGTATAATTTTTTTTTAAATAAAAGAATAAATACTGAAGTACTGAGATAAGTTTTTTTTATTACTGAGAAAGAAAAACGCCATTATAATATATAATAATATCTGATATATGTAAGATGAACTATTTCTTGAAAACTGTTTTAATAATATTATGTAAAAACATTATATTATTATATAAAATATTTTGCTGAATTTAATTTGTTTAAGATTTAATCATTTATTAATCATTGTCTTTTAAATGAAACTCTGCATCCTCTTTCCATTACGTTCCATTAATTCTTATTATATACTTCTAGACAAGTTTATCGATTTCATGTATGTAATACGTCACGACAAAATGGCCTTGAATATGAACAAAATAAATTTTCTAAAGGAACAAATATAGTAATTTGAGAAGTTACTAGAATTATTCTAGTAGTGAGTATTTTTATCAACCCCTATGTACTTATATAACCCTATTACGATCTCCCGATTTTTCGACTTAATTAACATTATCGTTTTATTAATTTGAAAACGACGTATTAGCATAAAATTAAACTTAAGATAATAAAAAAAATATTGGCATGCACAGTAAAAAAAGTTTTTGTATTTAAAAAAAAAAAAATGTAAAGAAAATAATACAAGAGTGTATCGTTGAAATATTTTTAATTAAAATTATTTCAAGATCATTATGTTAGATTATGTTGTATCTCTTTTGTACAAGAGATGCAATAAAAAAAGGGCAGGTTTATTAATAAAAAATAAGGATAACCTCAACACTTTAACATCTTAAAAAAAACTTATTACAAGAACAATTTTCTTATATTAAAATTATAAAATATTCTTATATTTAAAAATTGTATTATTTTTCTAATTTCAATTGATTAAAAACAGAAAACAAAACAATATAAATTTTATTCATTATCCCCCCCCCCCAAAAAAAAATATTATCAATAAGAATAATTTCCATATTTCATTTTTTCGAACTCTTTTTTTATTTCGAAAATAATTCAAACTATTCTCAATATTGTAACATTTTAAAAACTATATAAAAATATTATTTTATATAGTTATTTCTAAAAATATTTAAATAGATTTCAATGTTATATTGTTTTAAAAAATATGAAAATGTTGATTATTCCCACTAAATTATAACATTGCGCAAAAGTTTTATAGTATATATTACATACAACATTTTGTTTTATGAATGAATATAAATTATTCAAGATTATTATTAATATTTTTCAAAGACTGTTATCTTTTTTTAAAACTTGTTTAAATTTACAGAGAATTGTCTATGAATAATAAAACACGATATAAGAGCCGTACAGATACCTGTCAATGCAAACTATCTACATATTTGATGTTTACTTACATACATTTATATCATTCAAATTAAATAGAAAAATTAATAATCGTATCGTATCTAGACCA